GGAGGCACCAGATTATTAAAGAGGTTGGCAACAATGCCTTCAATTAGATCAAATAAATAAAAATACTAGAAACTAAACAAAACAAACTCATCCTGGCATTAAAACAAGTAAAATTATACTAGTTTAGCCACCAAAAATAATTTCCCCTAAACCTGAACAAGTTGACGTTTACCAACAAAAGAACCGTTTGTAGTTTTGTCCCTTTTTAAAGTTTTGATCTGGAAGCTGCTGAAGTCTGAAGAGTTGAAACATGTGAGTGACAGACAAAGACAGGTCAAGGATTTAAGTCAACTTTATTTATAAAGCACATTTAGAACAGAACCAAAGTGCTTAACAAAACAAAAAATCAATGAGAGCAATTTAATGGAAAAACAAAGAGAGTGCTGAAAATTAACCAAACGCATCAAAGAACAATGTAGAAACACAAAACAAACAAAAAGCAGATTTATTTATTTATTTATTTATAAAGTTTTTTCATTTTTTTAAAAACAGAACAAAACAATTCAATATACAATAAGAAATACAATCGCAAATAAAATGAAAAGCAGCAGAAAGAAGAAAATAAATCTTATATCTGCCCCTTTAAAAAAAAAATCAAACAATAATAATCTTCAAATAAAAACAAAGTAAATAACTCCTTCTCCAGCAACAATTCATACAAATACACATTAAACGTTTTCATATATTTTTTTTGATCATTCTCTTAAACACACGCATTGAGCTGGCATTTTTCACATCACTCTCCAGATTATTCCATAATCTAATTCCTTGGATTGAAGTAGACCTTCCCTTCAGACTAGTTCTAAATTTAGGTTTCACAAATATCTCTCTATCCCCTTAAGATTATAACAACTTTCTCTTTTAGCAAAATGTATTTGGATATTAGATTATTTAAATGTGTTATTATGAGCCCTATAAATAACTGATAAAATAAAGTACTTGATGTGTGACTGAAATGCTTTCTAGTAATAATTCTTACAGCTCTTTTCTATAAAACAAAACTAGGATTTGTCATTGTTTTACACCCCAAAACATCAGTACAATGGATTGTGTGGAACAATGATTGTGTTTTACAACATATACAGAGCTTTATGTTTCAATAACTCCCTGACTTTGTACAGTACTGGATTTAAAGTGGAGATAAATCTGAGTCAGTTTGTTGTCGACTGAATCCCTGCAGCAAACTGCTGCCAGTTTGGTGTTTTCATGACAAAATAAATGGTGCATCAGTTGGGAAATATTTATAAAAGTTGAGCTCATCTTGTTGAGAACATGACAGCTGAGATGGAGCAGGTTTTTTTGTCCTCTGCAACACGACCACGCGTGTAAAGTCCTTCGAGGACTCCTGCAGCTAGAAGAGCTTCTCTGAAGTTTGACTTGGTTCAGTCAAGTCTGATTGTTCACGTCTGACTCTAATAAGAGAAACCAACGTGTCTCAAATGCAGCACTTTATAAAATGAACGAGTTGTTTGTTAATCATTTAGCATCAGCCAAAACACAACCACGTGAGAAGACTCAAAAAAATAAAAAAGAATCTGGCTTCACTGTCGCAGACGAAACTGTTTTAGTTTCTATCTGCAGCCTGTTTTATGAGCTGCAAAGATTAAACAAACAAAACAACAGGACCCATTCACACCGGAGGACCACGATGTAAAACCTGCATGCTCTCTGTGGGGCTTCTCGTGAGGCCTTCAGGGCCTCATCAGGAGCACTGGGCTCCTCATCTCATCTGATGGAAATCCTTCAGGAAACTCCGTTTTTAACATTTGCAAGACCTAAATCTTTGTTTATTTTATTTATATTGATTTTATTAAAAAAATAAATAAATATATATATAAATAAATAATGTAAAACCTAAAGCCCCAAAAAGCTGCAGTCTGAAGAAAGGTTCTATAAAAGTTGTTATAGTTTTGTGGTCAAACAGAAGAATTCCCATGGTTCTTTTCTTGTGACGCAGAACTGGATTGTATAAATTAAGATTTTGAAAAGTAAAAAAAGTAATAAAAACAAACCTCATTTTGTGTAAATACATTTATTTTTTTGCATTTCGGATCAGTTTAAGAGGCGTAAACCTGAGCCACTCAAAACACAGGGCGTTGTTGTGGTTTTATTGTTATGGTTTATGTTTTTTTTTCTATTTTGGGCGGCTGTGGCTGAGTGGTTAGAGCAGTCGTCCTCCAGTGGGAGAGTTGTGGGTTCGATTCCACCAGCAAAATGAGCAGGATGATGCTCCTGGGCAAGACACTGAACCCCTCATAGCCTCTGATGTGTGTCCCATCAGTGTTTGAATGTGACAAAGCTCTGATTAGTCTTTGTATAAATACAGTAGAGTGTTGTATGAATGAGTAAATGTAAAGTGTAAAGAGCTTCGAGTATCTTGATCAGATAGAAAGGTGATATATAAGTACAGTCCATTTACCGTTTAGTGTTTTTCTTCATTACTTTACAAAATAATAACTTCAAAGTCTTCTGCTCTGACAACCTAAAATACAGATTGAAGCAGCGTCGCCACATTTCTGATGTTTCAGGCAAGAGTTAGAAATAATAAAAAAGCCTCGCTCCCCCACTCCATCTGCTGGGTGCAGGGCAGACCTGAATGTCATTAGAAGGAATGAGGGCTGTGAGGATCAGGGGTCTATCAGCCCCTCCAGACCCAGGTGACCAGCAGAGTCTCCATCATCTGCACCCACAGCATCTGCTGGGTGGGGGCCGGACCGCCACAAAGGAGGCAGATGTGACGAAGCTGCTTCATCTTCCAACAACCTTTAAAACTCTACAATTAAGCATCTGAACACAAAATGTCCAGTTGATTTTATATAAATAATAATCTGTTTGATGAAATTAAACCGGAACATAGTCTACATTAGAAGTCCGGTCGCTGCTGCACGATGGTCACATATTTACAGCTCATTCAGGCAACAAGCTAACAGTCTTATGTTGAGATGATTCTTGTTGGTGGATTCACTAAAATTAAAGTCATTTTTGAGGATTAAACCAAGTCTGACTTATCGACTGAACCTTTTCTTGGCGTAAATCCTCCCTTTAGGTCGGGTTGGACAGTTGATATTTTATATCGAATGGTAATATTTTCCATGAAGGCAAACCTTGTGAACTGTCCAACTATTGGCACGTTGCTGTGAGAGAGGAGCGATTAGGTCAGGACAAGGATGGTCATCAATAAATGCATACGTGCATATAAGTTAGCTGATTTAGCAGATTGCAGAGCATAGGACCTGCCAACTCTTAATGAGCGCCATCGTGTCCTTCAAGCTTGTTTTGACGCCTTCATTTAAACCGTTGGAAACTAAAGCTAATCTATTGTATGAACTTCTTTGTGTGCACTGAGCTGACTGTGTGAACTTGACTGACACCAGTCCAACATCCAACACCAGTGGTATCCAGAAGTTATCCTTGATGGTGGCTGAACAACCACTAATTATCGGATGTCTTGGTTGGGCAGAAGCCAAACCTCCGTCGTGACGTTGATGAAACATCGTGCTAGTTCAAGTGCAACAGCAATTGTTAAAAGAAATCACAGCTGGCAGGCAAAGTGTCTTTTGTTCGGGGTTGGGGTTCTTTGCATATGAGGGCATTAAAACCAAAAAAATGCAGAGAGAATGTCTGGGGGTGTCGCCAAGGTCATGGACAAGAGGGGACAAGGGTGAGGAAGAGAGGTTTGGTGGCATGGGAAAGTCACCTCCATGGTGGTTCTGAAAGGACGGGACGAGGCGGGAGGGGTTGAGTGGATGTATAAAGAGGGGGCAGATGGTGCCCCTGGGTGGATGGTGGGTGACGGAGATTTTAACAGAGGTTGCTGGGGGTTGGGTGCAAATAAGCATAGTCACAATACTATTGTCACTGCTGGCCCCTGTTTCAATAGAAGGACTTTCAACTTGACCCCAGCGACACTCGGGAGCGTTTTCATCATCATGAACGTTGCTGCTGCCATCTTTGATTGGTTGGCTTGCTGGCATTGAGACAGATGAAGGAGGACTCGCTGCTTTGAGCAGATCCATGGGATTTCATCATCTCTTATGTTCCAATAATCCAACAACCTTTGGGTTCTGGGATCCCTGATAGTGGCTGAACGACCAGAGTTGCTGTATGTTCTGGATGATCAAAACCCAAAGCTCCATTGATGAGGCATCATCCTGCCGTCCCTCCGTCTCCATGGCACTGCTGTACTAGTGCACGGCGGTCAGTATGTTCCAGTGATGACAGAAGTGAAAAGAGCTGAATTTCAGCACTGTCTCAATATTTTAGTTGCAGATTAAGGATTTGCCATATTTCTGTGAATCTTAGCTGAATGTGCTCCCTGCTCAGAAAGATATTAGTCCAATCAGCTGGGAACAGAGTCAGAGAGGTTTTTATGAAGCCAGGGCTAAAGTCAAGACAACACAGCCATCTTTAGCTTTGAGTTATGCCTCTCATTGACCAAACACTGTCCAGGTTAGCTTTATGCACTTCATGGATCTTCCTTGTTTTGTCTTCTGTGCATCTTTCTGGTTTTAGGTTGGTTTGAGCTTCCAGCAACAGTTTGTAGTCAAAACTGAATATTTGCAGACAAAGACTTGCTGTTTTCTTCAGTTTGTTGTGCTGTGCACATTTCATTTTAAAAGTAGTAGACTTACAGCGCATACATTTGAAAAAATATATTTTTGGCATTTCTGATTTGATAACAAAGACACGTTCTCTTCAACACTGACTTCGTGAACATGCTAGTCAGGTTGTCAACAGTATATTAGAATTAGTTAAGCTGAAAATCCATGTCCAATCCTTCGTAGATCTTTCATCATTTCTAACAATTTGTAGGAAATGACACGATTTGACACGATTATTGAAATTTATGTCTAACCATACAACAAACTGGAACTTCAAGGCAGCAGGAGTGTAATAAAGCAAGCAGTACCTCCCTGTGACCTTTCTTAAATGTTTTTTTTCCTACAGGTCTGGCCTCAGAGCTGTCTTTCTTGCTGGAGCCCAGTGATGTGATTGCAGTGAGAGACCATGCACTCATGCTGGACTGTCAGGTTCAGGGCGAGAAACCTATCATGGTGACGTGGCGTAAAAACGGGGTTCCTTTACCCACCAGCCCGCGGGTACGAGTCCTGGAAAATGGCACGCTGTTGATCCAGAGGTTTCAGAAGCGCAAAGAAGGGAGCGACGCTGACACGGGCGAGTACGACTGTGCAGCCCAAAATCGTTACGGCCTCCTGGTCAGTCGCAAAGCCAAAGTCCAACTGGCATGTAAGTCATCAACGGAGCACATTTTTATTTTTATACATTCCTGAGCCAAAGAAGCCCAGTATCTCCAGCACTGTGAAATGGTGGTAAACATTCAGGTTCAGCAAATCGGCAAACAAGTATTTCCACAACTTTAAACCATTTTTCTTGTTTCCTAACGCTAACCAGATGTTCAGTTGTCTACAACATTGTATTTTATATTTAGTTGGGAGTTTTGTACTTTTATATTGTACAGTAGTCCCTCGCTACTTTTTGATTCATTTATCGCGGAATCGCTCTATCGCGGTTTTTCAAAATAAGATTGGACATGACACACAATTGGCTGATTGATGGATGATTGGCATGGAATTTTTATTTAAAATGAATTATTTTAACTTATTTAGCACCTGCTGCACCTTTGTGCAGCCCACACTGCAGGAGAAACTTCCTCCTGCAGCTCCTCCTCCCTCCTCCTTCCTCCTCTGTCAATCTCCGTTCTGCAGCAGAGAAGGGGTCTTGGGCGAGAGCGCAGAGAGCAGCTGTGGCTGAGAGCAGGCAGGGAGCTGAAATCATGACATTCTGTGCTCTTTTAGAGCTTTAGAGTTTAAAAACATTGTTTAGAATATTTCAAGAGTGTGTGAAGGGTTCAAAACACCTTTA